GAGTTTTTTTGTAGTTTTTTATGTTTTGTGGTTTTCTTCTAAAAAGATTAAAAAAATATTAATTGTGTGGTTGTACATATTGTAAATGAAAAATTACTAATAAATAATAATGTGTTAATACCATTAAATGGCCATAAAAGTTTACAAAACACAAATTTTGACCACCTTTTGTAAAAACTATCTTTTTTAGCCATTTTGGTATGTATTTTTACTATATTACCCCTAACTCACTTTTACCTTTCCACTTCCCCTAATTTTTTTTTTTCACTCCCCTTTTTCACATTTCATTCCTATCTTCAAAATTTTCGTCCCCCGCTCTCACTTCGTCTCCAAAAAAATTTCTTCAAAAAATTAATCTTCACGACCGATTCTGAGCAAGTCTTCAAAAAAGTTTCTTAACGAAATTGACCGGGCCTTCACCTCACGAGCAGTGTCTTGTGCCGGATTCGGGTGCAAGATTTATGCAAGTCGAAGTTAGGGTTTCGGAAATTGGGATCGTCGGGGAGCTCGAACGCCATGAGGAAGAAACTCGACACGCGCTTTCCGGCTGTAAGTACGCTTTGTGTAGTTTTCTTATGGTCTTGTTAATGGAACTAATTAGGGTTTTCGTTTTCAAGGACTCTGCTTTTTTTTTTCTTTTCTCTTTTTTAAGTTTGTTACGGTTGTGAGAGTGATTAGTGTAAATTATTCTTTCTTTTCAGCAAGATTTAATTTTGTTTATTAGTTTTTCAATATTTGATTAAATTTATTTTATTTTCTTTTAGTTCATTGCAGCTATGATTTAGTTGATGTGATTACTTGTGTACGAGTAAATAGGCTGTAAAAATTAGGTATTTGCAGCAAGATTTAATTTTGCTAATATTTTTTAGTATTTATTTATTTATTTATTTATTATTTTTTTTTTTTGTTTTTGTTTTGAAGCCCTGGTTTGATTTAGTTGAAGTAATTACTTGTTTATTGGAGTAAATAGGATGTGAAAATTAGAAATCTACAGTCAAGTTTTAGATTGAATATTTGAACTTGGCTTAATTATAAGTTGGTGGTGAATGAACCTTGTGGCTTTGTATTGTGATGTGATTGAAATATTTCGATTTTTTTCACAGGCTCGGATTAAAAGTGGCTTTGTATTGTGATGTGATTGAAATATTTCGATTTTTTTCACAGGCTCAGATTAAAAATGTTATGCAAGCCGACGAGGATGTAGAAAAGATTGCCATGGTTGTACACATTTGAAACCACCAAGGGCCTGGGCATCCAAAAAATCACTTTGTTCAATTCTGTACATTGCCCTTTTTACCCCAGTAAACCATTTAACTAGTCGTAAATAGTGGCCCAAAGTTTAGTTTTTTGCTTCAAGTTGTTTCGAATTAGTCCCTTCATGTTCGAATTAGGTCTTTTTTTTTTTTTGAACTTGTTATTTAGCTTATCTAGTCATTGTTACTGATGTTTCTATTCTATGTTATTTGTTTCTTCTATTGGTCATTTGGAATTATAATAAGGAAATTGTTTGTATGCTTTGAATAGTTTGTTTTGCTTATCTAATATACCACTGATGTTAGTTATCTCATGTTCTCTTTTATGTGTGTTTAATTTCCTTGTTTATGCCTTTTCATTCAGTTCTCTAATATTTCTTTGTCTCATGTAGTTTTGTGCTTGTTTCTCTGTTATTTATGTTGAACTTTATTGTTAACTTTTGTTATTGGTCTTGCTGTTCGGACGAGGTCGTGAAATTTGTCCCTCTAAGAACATTATGTTTTTCCTATTTTCTGTTTTATTTATTTTT